TTCTTCCAATGATGGCAGCATAGCCAGCCAATCAACCTTTCCCTTGCCTTCGCTGTTGCTGCTTGGCGGTATTGCTGCGGAACTAGTGGGACGCGATGAAGCTGACGAAGACATAGGACGAGAAGAGCTCTGCTGAGGGTCCTAAAAATTTGCATGGTGAAAGGAAACAAACTTGCAAACCTGAGAAAAATTTACTTACTTCATCGGTTTCCTCTTTTACTGGTGCAACACGAGGAATGCGGAGAATCAAACGACCAGGTCCGGAATTCGCTGTAAATAGTTTTTACGATGGTTTTACCAATTCAAAATCAAAAAACCCTTATCAAAAAGGGTACCTGCGGGCGATTCCTGTGAAGTTTCATGGCTTTTCATTTTTCGCTCATATTTTCGCTTTTTCCGCTCAGGTTGCGCGTAAGGAGTGCTAGTTGATGCTCCACCATACAGCTGCATCGCATACTATAAAAAAGCCTCCTCTTCCCACGTTTGGTAGAAATAACCGTGGACACGCTGACCTCTTCATCTTGTTGCTCGCGCTTCACTCTTTCTTCGTGTTCCCGAATAGACGAGTCTATACTCATGTGTTCAGGTAAGTTCTGACTTAGCTCAGCCACCTATAAGCTTTGTCTTTACAACATAAGCTTTTGAGAACGGACATCAACGATTTTGCAGGATCCTAATATGAAAAAGTTTAATTGCAGCGGACTACTAGCCGTTGTTCCTCCCGGCCTTAGTTCTTGGAAACACTTGGCAATGGTAACATTTGGTGTAAACCCTTGACACTATTCTACTATGGATGCGCCAGAAAAAAGCATTATTTCGTGTGTAGTGACCCAGCCATTAATGCATGGTAAGAAAAAACAACTTGTATATTTTTATTTTCACGTTGTTGCTATATTTATTGCAATGACGGTATTTCGAAGCCTTCCGTTCACATTGTTCCCCTTTTGTCAACAAACCGTAACATATGACCCCACATCTGACATGGCCAAAAGCAAAGCTCATATTTTAAAATTCAGCAAAAACTTTATTACACAAGGTTTTACGTAAAAAGTAGTAAAATTACACAGAAGGAACTTGATTAGAAAACTAACCAAGTCCTTGGTGCTTTGTACTGCCTTGCGAGCAGCTAATACTGAGACAGTGGAAGGGATAGGAGAGGCTAGTGAGCCTACTGCCGTTTTGGTACGTTTGATTCCTGAAGACGGAGTGGTCGAATGGCCTGAAAGCATGATTCAATGTAGCCTAACATGGATTTAGAGGCTTTTGCAAATCTGTTCTCAGAAGATACCAAGTTTATGC